CCACAACCAACAGGTTGGAATGCCAAGGTCTATTAGCTTTCGTACAAAGCAGACAAGCCTTAAACACCAATCAAACATGGGCACATATAGCAGATAATCACATAACAACCTATAGACAGACAACCGATCTAACAGATCATAACAACATAGTAACATCCTATCTACCAAGATACTGATCTAACGGATCATAGCAACATATAACATCCTGTCTACTAGGATACTTATATAACGGATCAGGATCATAACAGCATAGCAACATCTTATCTACTAGGATACTGATCTAACGGATCATAACAACATATAACATCCCATCTACCAGGATACTGATCTAACAGATCATAACAACATATAACATCCCATCTACCAGGATACTGATCTAACAAATCATACAATACTCAAGCATACAACATATCAGGATAGCAATCCAAAAGGGTCGGACTTGGTGCCTTATACCCTTGAGTATAGCGAGGAAAACTCACCTCGAAATGTTGATCTGAACTGAAGAATCGAACTCCCGAATCGCTACCTCACCAAAAATCTTGAAGTATCCAAATAATAAATACCAAGTCATTACACAACATAACAATCTTGACTAGGGGTCCATACAATCCCTCATGTCCATTCTCTTTATTGGGCCAAGGCCCAATGCCAATTCTATGACTTTGAAAGTCCTTATGCAAAGCCCATTATTGACCCAATTTAAAAAAATTGGGCCTAACTCCCTAACTGGGCCTAATTCCAAGATCCATTATCAAAGCTTGGCCCAAAACATTATATTCATAAAGTACAGCAAAAGCCCAAATCCAACTAGTCCATAAACAACCCAAAACCCGAAGCCCAATTGCCAAAGGCCCAATAGAGGACGTACGCGGGGCATACTCGCAAAATGGTGAGTACGTTGGGCGTACCTACATGTACGCTCAGCGTACTCCCCTGATAAGTCACTTTCCCATTAAGTGCTTAATACTCCAATCTAGAATCTACAATCACAGATCCAAGTCCTTTTCCATGTCTTAATCTATAAAGTCACTGACTTGGTGACTTTGCATGACCCTAATAAGCCCAAACTCCAAAATAATATTCCAATCTCATATAAATGATCTTAACTCATGCATGAATCCAATAAGACATTCAAGATGGCAACTTTCTGCCTTAGGGACCCATTTTGAACTGCGAGTGGCAACTCTAAGTTCAGAAATCGAATTTCAACCATAAAGTTCTATACTTGGGACCAAAATGAGTTCAAAATCAAACTACAATAGATCTAATCATTCTTGAGGAAATTTATGAATGTTATACCTCAGAAGAGTCTCAAATGATGATGCTATTCCAGATCTATAAGCTCAAACTTCCCCAGTCATTCCTTGACAACTTCTTCTTTTCTCTTCCAAGCTTAAAAATCACCAAGATGGCCTCTCAAGATCAAGATCACACAAAAATGAAGGGATGAGATGTTCTAGGGTTTTTCTGAGGTTGGGGAGGCTGATAAGGGGCTAGGATTCAAGTCATCATGTTCTTTATATAGTGCTTAACCCTAAAATTAGGGTTTAGTGTCACTGAGCGTACGTTGGGCGTACGCCTCCAACACCTGCGCCCATTTAACCTTCTACGTTGGGCGTACCCCAGCTTACGTTGGGCTAAGTTGCACGGAAACGGATACGGCAATGGAAAACGGATACGGAACGGAAACGGGAAACGGCAAAACCCAAAAAATCAAGATACGGATACGACAATATAAAATTGTTTGTGTGTGTGTGTGTATATATATATATATATATATATATATATATATATATATATATTGATGTCAAGTCCCTCAATGGAGGTTGATCTATTGATGTAGTTGATGATCCTTGTGTTTGTTGAGAAGCCATAATCGATAATGTGATTAGGAATTAAGAGAATCAAGAATGGTGATGAATAATGATTGACGATCCTAGTGAATTGTGTTCGACTAATCGTCTTTGATCGAGAAGACAGAAGACGACTCACGACAGGGGAGACTTTGATTGACGATCGGTTAGGAACTTAAAGGGAATACCAAATACGATTTGAGCCTTAAGAACAACAACCCATTAGTCTTTTTTTGATTTAAACTTAAAAAGCTCATGTAAACCTTAAAATAAAATAGAAACTGCTAGGAAACTTCATCGAAACTTTAAGAAAACTTCGCAGAAACGTTTCCATGATACCCGATACTTCCAGGAAACGTTTCCAAGGAGTTTCCATGGAGTATTCGTTTCCATGGAGTTTCGGAAACGGAAACAACAACCTTAGATAAGTTTCCATGCATCATAGACGTTGGGCGACACACCCAATTGCCACCTTTACAATGCATGGTCCTCCTTTCCACTTCCCTCCAAACCCAAGGGCCAAAAGTGACATAATTCAAATCCGAAGAATGAATTTGAAGGTACTTGAAAAATTGGATGTTACACTACGTGGCCACGAGCGTTATCTGTGTATACAAGCCCGGACCTTCGTGGTCGTGGTGATTCGTGGTGGGGAAGACAGAGGACCACGATGTTGCCTCTCTCAGCCAACCGTCTTCTTCTTCCTCTCTATCCGTTCATGCTCATCACCGGTACACCACCACCAGTTTATGCTTCGTGATGGTCTTTGTGGTTGCGTTGTTCGTGACAAGCATTGCAGATGGTCTTGGGGCATCAGGTATGCATAACATGAAGCCTTTTGTGGTCTAGGTGGCAACGAACACTAACCACAAACCCCATCCCGATGCTTAGTGGTTGGTAGTGGTCGTGGTAAATTGTGATGTATACCACAAATCACCACATTCAATTGCATTCTTTCTCTCTCTACAATAATATATATATATATATATATATATATATATATATATATATATAATAATGGTATAGTGGTAGGTATCAAACGGTTAGTGTTTGGTATAACGGATGGTCTAATATCTCATTGTATGGACGATGTCGATTGACCCACACATTCATGTGTTCAATGTATTTTATTATTATTATTATTATTATTATTATTATTATTTTAAAACTTGACAAGTTTGACCATTTTGACTTGTTAGATCTATTTGATCCATTGTATTTTAACCTACAATGTTATTTTACCAATTTGATCTATAATAAGAATGATATAGTGGTAGGTATCAAATGGTTAGTGTTTGATATAACGAACGGTCTAATATCTCATTGTAGGGACAATGTCGATTGACCCACACATTCATGTGTTCAATGTATTTTATTGTTATTATTATTATTATTATTATTATTATTATTATTTTAATACTTGACAACTTTCGACCATTTTGACTTGTTAGATCTATTTGATCCATTGTATTTTAACCTAAGATGTTATTTTACCAATTTTACCAATTCGACCATTTTGACTTGTTAGATCTGTTTGATCCATTGTATTTTAACCTACAATGTTATTTTACCAATTTGATCCTTATGAGATAAAATATGACTTAAATCCACTCGATCGTAACCAAATATGTACAGATTATGATCTTAACGTAGACACTTTTGGACTTGCACCATAACCTCATGGGCCATTATTCAAAATTTATTAAGGTGCTTCTAAAGTCTTAACTAAAAAGCCCAACATATATAACTAACATATAATTTCGTGATGACAATTGATAATAATAAATTTATTTTTCTTATTTGTAGAAATTCAGTTAATAAATTAAAATTTTCTCCAGAAATTACAGAGCAATTAACATCAGACCAAGCATGGGAAACAACAACAAGAACCAAAGCACCACATATTATTATTTATTTAATGGACTTTTATATTCTCAATGACAATACAGTGATTATCGTCACTAAATTCAAGTTAATTGCTTCTTTCTTTTTCCATAATAATATGCAACTTTCCCATTTAATATCATCATCATACATAGATCAACACCCTACACATACCCACATAAAATTAATTAATTAATCAAACTAAAACATTTTAAAGTTAAAATAATTTTTTTGAAAATCAAAAAGATGAATATTTGGAAATTTAGCATGGTGAGAATCAAAATATTTGACGGGAAGAACAAGTGACAAATGGAGAGTGACGATTCCCTAATCCCACCTCCAAAGAGTCACCTCGTCCTCAGTGTTCTTATAGCTCCAGGCGGATCCATCTTCTTCAATTCCCAATGTCAGCTTTCCCTTTATGCCCCTACCTCCTTTTCTCTCTTCTTTCATTCCCAAGAACCCACCCTTGTACCCTAATGTAGGGAGATTTTCGTCTTTTTACTTCTTCTGCCCTGAGTTTATCCTCTACTCGCCATGTTTTCAGAGTTGGTTCTGCACCAAAAACAATACCCTCTCTACTCACATCTTTCGCTCTAGTTTCTTGATAGCTTGGAGGCTAAAAATGTTGCTTATACTGTATGTGCACTTCCTACCCTTTTAATTTCACAATTTCACATTTGACCCCCTAAGTAATCAATACATAGATAAGAAATATATTATATATAATGTCACTTTCATGGTGGTACATAGATAAGGTATTAGGATTTGCTGTGAAAAACTAACAATCCATATCGTTACGTGTTTATATGATTTTAATCCTTAATCACTTTAAAACAAGCCTTGTAACACCACCTAAAACAATTAAAACTCAAAGAAAAAAACAACAACAATAAAAAATATTACAACTATTGAATTATTAAATATGTTGCCTTATGACAAAATCAGGTATTATCCATGCTTGTATATGGTTAAACCTTTCAAAAAAAAAAAAAAGTTAATTGAAAGGTCGGAATTTAAACATATAAAAGACGAAACCAAACAATAGTTGAAACCAAAGCATGAAAATGGAAGGGACTAAAGAGTTGAAGTATATGAAGCGTAAGGGAGTAAAATGTAATTTTATCATAAATGATCCCATGTTCCAAAATCCAACTCTCTCTTTATAAAAGAACAGTAGTAGTCGTTTGAAAGCCCATGCAAAAAGTCACGAAACATCCCTTTCTCTCTGACTCCCTCCTAACTTAGTCCTATTATTCGATTATGGACGGTTGTAGTGCTACACAAGAGATGGTGGCCGGAGGCGGAGTAGCTGGAACGCCGGTTGCCTGCAGGTGGAATCCGACGAAGGAACAGATAAGCATGCTGGAGACTTTGTATGGACAAGGGCTAAGGACACCGACGGCGGAGCAGATTCAGGAGATAACCAGAAGGCTGCAAACGTATGGACACATTGAAGGCAAAAATGTGTTTTATTGGTTTCAAAACCACAAAGCTAGGCAAAGGCAAAAGGAAAAACAAGATCACCTGTCTTTATTCCGGCAATATAACCACCACCACCACCACCATCATCATCGCCTCTGTCATCAGCCATTCCTCCCTCTACCACCGTCGCCAAACGGTTCGTATTTCAAATTATTAATTTGCATATTTCATTGTTTTAGAATTGGTATACGTGAGTTTGGATGAGTTATATATTGACGTTTCAATTAACATATTGGTTTTATTAAATTCTTTTTATATATGGAAATTTCAAACTCGCATAATTATTTTGTCATTTGTTCTTTCAGTTCTGTATGATACCTGTTACATGCCACCCAGCAATTTAGGGTTCTACACCCAGCACCCACAAGTTGCATCACCTAGCATCAGCAAGAAACGACCACCAAGAGCCACTAAGTCAAAATCTCCGGGCAACGGCGGATTCATGTTGAAGCACCGGCCGGAAAGCTTTGTTTCTGTTTCCGGAGGGAATATTAACACGATGAACATAGAGCAAAATGAGATTAATCATTGCAAAAACCACAGTTATCAAGAAACTTTGGATCTTTTCCCTCTGCACCCAACTGGGATTCTGCAAGAACGAATGGAAACTTCAGCCACTGCTACTTGTCTTGCTTCCACTGCTTGTACGTCGAGCTCTTCTGGAAGTGCGGTTGACCGGCTATACTTTGACTTTTTTGCTTGATTTTGACAAGTGTTGATGATACATGGTTCAAATTCTTCACTAACTTGCATGCAAATTTTGATCGGTTGCACACAATTGAACTCAATTAATGTAGCTTTTGTTTTCATATATGTTGTATAAGTGTTGGTCAATGAGTTTGTGGAATCTGTACGTATTCCATAGCATTGGAATATTGCAGATTGGGAAAAAGATAAATCAGTTATCGTTTAAGACGTTTGTTGTTAATCAAATGATAATTCTTTTAACTAATCTGATGGGTTTTAGTACTTTTTATGACAAGTATTTTCATTTTATAATTGAAAAAAAATCAAACGATCAGCGATTCAGTTGCTGCTGGCACTTAAATGCGGACCTATATCGTCTGTATGTACTTGTGAAAAAGTTATGTAGTGTTAAAATATACTAATTAAAAAAGAGAAGTGGACTGTAATGTATATTAATAATAGCGAAAAATGATCCAATGCATAATAAAATAACTTATAGTAAGAATAAATTAACCAATTGTCTTGAAAAATGCGTACAGAACAATACTTGGCAAAGTACCTGGCAATTTGAAATTTCAATGGTAAATATATCAAATACAAAAAGATATAGTGATTTATTTTGTTATATTACATTAGTTATACTCACATATCGAGTTTACATGCAGAAAAAGGAAGTGAATCCCAAACAATCAAAATCAGCATAATTATATGTCGTCCGCCAATCTACTATAATTTATCTTGGCCTCTCTAAATTTATGGCCTTCCTAATAATCAAAAAATCGTGCATAAGATTTTTTTTTGTTTTTTTCGTCTTGATAGAAGAGGCAGCGGCAGCCTCCAACAATGCTTGAAAAGTTGCATTAAGGCCGAAGCCCGAACCAACTAATTGAAGAGCCCAAGACCAAATTGTAAGTGGTATTTTAAAGAGGACAAAAAGCGTGCTCAGCAATGTTACAGAATGTACAAGATTTTGAAGGTAGAACTACTCCTCATTGAGCAAAATCAAAGGCTAGCAGAATTTGGGTTAAAAGAAATTGTTAAATATAGCAATTGGTTTTAATTGATAACCATCCGTTCGACCTAAATGCACATGCATGCATAAAGTTTCATGTAGCTAAACTTGTTACAGTGAAGCTTTTATAACAATTGATGTTCAAAAATCTTGGTCATTGATACAATTAGACGTAACAACCCCTTCCTAAATGGAGATTTGGAAAAAGAAGTTTACATGCAATTACCTCAAGGCTATACTCCATCTATTAAACAAAATTCAAAGGTCAAATTAGCATGCAAATTGGAAAAATCTTTATATGGCTTACGCCAAGCATCAAGACAATGGTATGCAGAATTCTAAGGTTTTCTTGTTTCTGAAGGTTTCAAACAATCTCAAGCTGATTTCTCCCTATTTGTTAAAGGCAAAGATGATAATTTTGTAGCTTTATTAGTCTCCGTGGATGACATAATGATCATTGTTTATCTTTGATTGCCATAAATGAAATCAAACAAAGTTTAAGTGCTAAGTTTCTTCTTAAAGATTTGGGGAAACTTAAACATTTTTTGGATTTAGAAATTGTTGAAATTACACAAAATATTTTTCCCAACATCTTCATTTCTTATATCAATTTAGGACAAAGAAACAGAAGGTTTTCACGTACTTACAACTGAAACCTCACTACAAAACCCTAATCTACTCTCATTCAACTACACTCAATCCTAATCTAAAACAGATTATACGAATAGGAACATCTGAATTTTAATCTATCATCATAACAACACAAGATCAGAGAGAAGTAGAAAACACGAACAACGAAAGAAGAGAAAACCCTAGATCTATCTCTCAAGCTGAAAACTCTCATCTGCCACATATCTTCTGTCTCTCTTCTTTTATATCTCCGCGTCAAGTATATGGATCAACCCGACTATAACAAAAGATCCGCGTATCCTTCCCTGCATTTACATTCTAAACCCTGCTACAAATACTTTTAACATAATAACCCCTTTAAGAAAAAACAAATAAATATAAGATTGAAATATTCTTCCACTATTTTCAACATTCCCCCTCAATCGAAATATTTATTTATTTTCCTTAAAAATATCAATGAGACCCATTTTTTTAGATAAAAAATCATGTTGTTTGACATTCAAAGATTTTGTAAGTATATCTGCATTCTGTTCAGAAGAAATAATTTTAACAAGTTTTATAACTCCATTTGAAATTTTTTCTCTTACAAAATGCAAGTCAATCTCAAAATGTTTAGTTCTTTCATGAAACACTGGATTAAGAGCTAACTTAATTGTTGAATCATTATCACAAAATACAGAAACTGGAATAAAATTCTTAACTCCTAATTCAAAAAAGATTTTCAAAACCCAAATTATTTCACATGTAACAGACCCAAGAGCTCTATATTCAGCTTCAGTGGAAGATCTAGAAACAGTAGACTATTTCTTACTTTTCCATGAAATCAAACAATTATTAAAATATACTAAGTAACCTGTTACAGATTTCCTTGTAGTTAGACATTTTGCCCAATCTGCATCAACAAATCCACTCAACATAAAGTTATCAGATTTAGTTATTGCAACTCCTTTTCCAGGACATCCTTTTAAATATCTTAACAACCTTAAAGCAATTTTTAAATGAGACTTCCTAGGTTTGTGCATAAATTGACTTAGCACTTGAACTCCATAAGCAATATCTGGCCTAGTAATAGTAAGATATATAAGTTTTCCAATCAGCTTTTGAAATTCAGTTTTATTATCTAATAACCCATTGTGTTTATCATCATTTCCTGTATTTATCATAAAGTTTGTCTCTAATGGAGTGCTAACGGTTTACAACCAAGCAATCCATACTCATGCAAAAGCTCTAAACAATACTTTCTTTGATTTAAACACAAACCATTATCAATATTTACTAATTCAATACCTAGAAAATACTTAAGAACTCCAAGATCTTTAATCAAAAATTGAGTTTTCATAAATTCTTTAACCTTTTTTAATTCAGTTTCACAATTACCAGTTAATATAATATCATCAACATATACAAGTAACACAGTTATTGAACTATCAAACCTTCTAATAAACAGTGAATAATCACTTATGCTTTGTTGAAAACCAAACATAAACAAAGAAGCACACAATTTTTCATTCCATTTTCTAGGAGCTTGCTTTAAACCATATAACGATTTTGTAAGCTTGCAAACCCTAGAATCATTTTCAGAATAATATCCAGGAGGAAGAGACATATACACATCCTCAGATAGATCACCATAAAGGAAAGCATTATTTATATCTAACTGATATAAAGGCCAAGAATTATGCACAGATAAGGAAATAACAATTCGAATAGTCACAATTTTTGCAACAGGAGAAAAGTTTCTTCAAAATCAATCCCTTCTCTTTGATTATACCCCTTAGCCACTAACCGGGCTTTATATCTTTCAACTTCACCATTTGACTTATATTTAATTTTAAAAACCCACTTGCAACCAATTGGTTTCCTGTTTTTAGGTAAATTTGTTATTTCCCAAGTATGATTACGATGAAGAGCTTCCATTTCTTCATTCATGGCCTTTACCCAATTAGGATCAGATAAAGCCTCATAGTAATTTTTAGGCTCTACAGTCTTATTCAGATTCGAAACAAAACATTTAGCATCAGTATTAAGCAAAGAATAATTAACAGATCTTTCTATGCCATATTTATATTTTCCTTCTATAACATAATCAGCAAATTTAATTGGCATATGTGATTCACGTCTAGACCTAGATGCACCTATAGACAGTTCTACTGAAGGGGTTGAAGAAATATGACTATTTTCCTCAGACATATCAGAAGATAAAGGAATAGAACCAACAGAATGAGGCATATTTACCTCGCCACTACGGTTGACTGACTCAATTAAGTCACTGTCATCCAAGTCAGTAGCTGCATTAATACCATCCTCCTGTGACTCCACTCTCAGTTCATCTAAATTTATAGAATCATTTAAGTATTCATTTTTATCAAAGTCATCATAGGAAAAAGGATCAACAGGGCCAAAAGTATTAAAAGTTTTATCACCAACAGTTGACCTCAATTTATAAGGAAACACTGACTCATAAAACTTCACATCCCTGGATACAAAAGAACAATTAGTATCCAAACTAAGAAGTTTATAAGCTTTCTTATCAGATGAATATCCTAACAAAACACATTTTTCTGCACGCTCAGAAAATTTATCAGATACATTTTGTCTAGCAGCAAAACAAAGACAACCAAAAACTCTTAAATGATCAAAATTAGGAGTCTTTTTAAAAACAAGTTCATAAGGAGATAAACCATTCAAAACAGAAGTAGGCATTCTATTTATCAAAAAAACCGAAGTTAAAACTGCATCTCCCCAATACTTAACAGGAACTCCTGACTGAAACATAAGAGATCGTGCCACATTAAGAATATGTCTATGCTTTCTTTCCACAACTCCATTCTGTTGTGGAGTGTAAGCACAAGAGGTCTGATGAATGACTCCATGTTCAATACAATAAAACTTCATTTGATTATTTACAAACTCTGTTCCATTATCAGACCTTATAGTCTTAATGTTAACACCAAACTGATTTAATAGAATATTTACAAAAACTTTAAAACAATCAAAAACTTCACTTTTAGATTTTAAAAGAAAAGCCCAAGTTGCCCTAGAAAAATCATCCACAATAGTCAAAAAATACTTATAACCCTCAACAGAAGCCAATCTATAGGGACCCCAAACATCTAGATGAATCAATTCACCTAATTGAGATGAATGATGCTGACTATGAGAAAAGGATTCTCTAGTCTGTTTTGCTTTATGACAAGTATCACAAGGAGGTAAGGATTCATTTCCAAAATTCAGTTTATCTTTTAGAGCACTTAAAGCCTGGTCAGCAGGATGACCAAGTCTACTGTGCCAGGTAAATTTTGAAACAAAACACTTAGGAATAGTTAAACTAGCAAAATTACCTAAGGGAACATGATCAAGGTAATAAAGACCCC